ACACTCACACACTCACACTCACACACACACACTCACACTCACACTCACACACTCACTCACACTCTCACACTCACACAATCACTCACACAATCACTCACACTCACACTCAACACACACACACTCTCACACTCACACACTCACACAATCACACAATCACACACACACTCACACACTCACACACACTCACACACTCTCACACTCTCACACACTCACACACTCTCACACACTCACACAATCACACAATCACACAATAACACACACACTCACACAGTCACACAGTCACACACACACTCTCACACACTCACTCACACTCACACTCACACTCTCACACACACACACACACTCTCACACAACCTCACACACACTCACACTCACATTCAAACTCACACTCTCACACAGTCACACAGTCACACACTCACACTCACACTCACACTCACTCACACAACCTCACACTCACACACACTCACACACACAACCTCACACTCACACAACCTCACACAACCTCACACACTCACACACTCACACAGTGAATTTACTTTTCCTTCAGCCTGAAGTTTATTCATTACACTTTTTGGTGTGAAAGGGCTTTTACATTTGCTATAAATAGAACTTCTTATATTAAAAACAATCAAGCCCTGCTCATATGTAAAAAGTAACGCAAAAGTAACGTAACGCATTACTTTACATAAAAAGTAACTAAGTACCGTAATTAGTTACTTTTTTAGGGAGTAACGCAATATTGTAATGCATTACTTTTAAAAGTAACTTTCCCCAACACTGCCGGTAGCTGTGTGTGTTTTACCAGATCAAAGCCATGTATGCGCTGCAGTCCACCGGGTTACAGAAGATGTGGCCCTCGACGCTGGGTCTGGGGCCCCGGATCCACAGGAAAACTGTATCGCTGGTGCCCAAACTCACCTGGAGAGACCAGAACACTACAGTCCATCACAAACTACTCTGGACATTAAAAAACAGACCCCAGCTAACACATGGAGATTATGACGGTGTGGGAACATTGTTTCAAAATGTTTCTAAAATGTTGAAATGTTCAGTCTCCTTGTTGTGATTATAAGGTTACAAAAATGTTTCTTACAACTCTCTATTTTCACCCACAATACAACATTATTTGAATGTTTATTTTTAATATTCTAAGCCTCAGAAAATTAATATTTTAATTAATATTAATTAATATTTATTATTTTGTTTAAATTGTTTATTATTATTTTATTCAATATATTAATATTAATATTTTGGGTGAAAAGGTTAGAATGTTGCGAAAATGTTTTATGGACCTTTAAATAACATTATTTTTAAAGTTTATTTTTAATATTCTAAGAATTATTACTAACTTTATTTTTACCCAAAATAATGTAATTTGAACATTTTTTAAAAACGTTCCAAGAACGTTAAAATGTCCAATTTTCTCTTCATAATTAAAACATTATTTAAAGGTTACAAAAAGTGTCTTATAACATTCTGCTAACTTTTATTTTCACCTAAAATATAACTTTATTTGAACGTTTATTTTTAATATTCTAAGAATTATTACTAACTTTATTTTTACCCAAAATAATGTTACTTGAACATTTTTTAAACATTCTAAGAATGTTAAAATGTCAAATTTTCTTGTCTTTATTATAATTTTATTTAAAGGTTCCTAAAATGTGTTTTGCAACATTCTACAAACTTTATTTTCACCCACAATACAACATTATTTTTCATGTTTATTTGTAATATTCTAAGCAAATTAAAATGTCCAGTTTTATTTTCATAATTAGAACATTATTCAAAGGTTACAAAAAGTGTCTTACAACATTTATAACTTTTCTTTTCACCCAAAATGTAACTTTATTTGAACGTTTATTTTTAATATTCTAAGAATTATTACTAACTTTTTTACCTAAAATAATTAATTTTTTTAAAACATTCTAAGAACGTTAAAATGTCAATTTTTCTTGTCGTTATTATAATTATATAAATGTTTCTTTTGCAACATTCTACTAACTCTATTTTCACCCAAAACTGTTTATTTTTAATAATCTAAGAATGTTTTCTCAATGTTACAAGAACATTTATCAAGTACAAATCACATCATAAGGACGTTCAGAGAATGTTCTCAGAAGGTTTTCTCTCATCGTTATGACAACGTACATCAAATATTAACAAGGTTAAAAGAACATTACATAGACATTACATAAAAATTACTTTAAGAATGTTTTGTCCTAACATTTACACAACTTTACTGAAAAAACGAACTAAAAAAAAAAAGTTGCTAGCACGTTCCCATTCCCTTAGTTTATACTAAAGCCAGAAATGCAGCAGGTTTTGGCCATCTTAGGCAGCTTCTGGGTTATGTTTCCATGTGCTCTCGAACAACCTGATCATTTTCCAGCAAAAAGCAGAGCAAACACTGACTCTAATGCAAACAACCGCAAGCGTCTGTGCTAACATTCATTCAAACGCAGCGGGATGAAAGAGGCAGAACTGACTGATGAAGAGACGAGTCGGAGAGTGATTGGTGACTTCAGAGCGGATTCTTTAGCGTGTTAAACACACGCGTGTGTCATGAGATGATTCCACACAGGAATCCAGCGTTTATACAGCACAGCTTTGATATATGGATCATACATTCATCACTCACACAGCATATATATCACTAATTGCACCATTTCATTTTAGAAATATAAATGCAGGAGGCAATTACAGGGCTAAAAATAAAAAAAATAAAATCATAAAACATGGTCAGATGGATTAAGATTAGTTATTAATTTTTTTAACTGTTTTCCATTTTTGTTATTTTCATTTTAGTTTAGTTAAACTTGTAGTAGTTTTGCTGTGTTTTTGACATTTTTATTATTGTTTAGTTTTATTATTTTATATATATATATATATATGCACACATTTTTAATTATAACAGTACTTCAAGTTAAAATAAATGAAAATGAGAAATGTTAAATAATGTAATATCTAAGAAATACTATTAAAGTATATAAAATCACAAAATATTAAATATATAATTATATATTATGATATATTTTATTTTATGTCTGTTAAAGTTTATTAAATTTCAAGTAATGAATTTTTTTTGTTTTAGGTAACTACAATAATATAATATAAATAGCAGGTTTATCTTAAATATAATTTTCACCAGTAGGTGAAGATAATTTAAAAAAAAAAAGTTATAAGCAATAAAACATTATTTTTCAGGATTCACAGATGAATAGAAATTTCAAAAGAACAGCGTTTATTTGAAATCGAAATCTTTTTGTGACATTATAAATGTCTTTACTGTCACTTTTGAGCAATTCAATGCTTCCTCGATTAATAAAAGTGTTTTTAAAAAGTCACTCACCGCTAGATCTCCTTCCTGTAGCCTCATACCAGCCAGAGATCCTGAAACCAAAAACATATCGGATCATTAAATCAGACAAATAAAACCGTCTCCAAACAGAGAGGAAGTCTGGAAGGACGTCAGAAACCTAATAAAGATGTCTCTGATATTATGAAAGGCAAAGAAAGGGTTTTGGAAGAGGCTGTTAATGCTGAACACACAGCTACAGACATGTTTTCATCTGCGACTCGCTGGAGTTTAACGGCAGGCGGTCAGCGGTGATCCTGATGGCCTTGCAGGAAAAAACATTTAATAAATCACCTGCTAACAGGAGCTTCAGCAGCCGAGAAAAATTATCCCTGAATACTAATATCAACACATCAGGAAAACCCATTTCAGCAAAATGGAAACGACTAACTTCGTCAACTGAAATGCATCATCGTCATTTTTTAGCGGTTTCATAAAACATGGTCTCCTCCTACAAGAATAAATTACAAACCTCTCACCACATCAGCTCATCTGCTGTCCTGAGTCTTAAAATGATCCATTTAAATGTATTATATTTATAATTAATTAAAATTAACATGTATATATTCAAAATGTACTTTAAAAAAAACAATTACTTAATTTTATAATAATTATTAAAAATTACTATTACTATTATTAACAAATATTTTATATAATATGAAATAAAATGTGAATTTATTCATTATTAATTGTATATAACCCATAGAATTATATTATAATTTATATACATTTAAAAAAAAACAAAAAAAACATACATATACTTGCCGTTCATTTTTATAAAAATAATATAAAAAGTATATTAATATAAAAGTTTACTTAATATACTTTACACATACATGCATATTTGCTATATTTTATACTTTATAAAAAATATACTATAAAATTTTTTAAAGTTTTTGGTATTGTAAATTCTATAAATTACTACAAATTTATATAAATTCTATACATTTATATGTATGTATGTGTGTGTGTGTGGGTGTGTGTGTGTGTGTGTGTGTGTGTGTGTGTGTGTGTGAGTGTGTGTGTGTGAGTGTGTGTGTGTGTGCGAGAGTGTGTGTGTGCGAGAGTGTGTGTGTGTGCGAGAGAGAGTGTCTGTGAGTGTGAGTATTAGTGTGAATATATAGGTGTGTTTGTGTGTGTATATATATATATATATATATAGTTAATATAAATTATTATTTTAATAACTGATATTAATTTAAATATACGTATGTATATGTACATACAGTATATATTGACTCAAAGCAAAGACTGCATTCGTGTGCTGCTGCTGCCATCTACAGTCAGTAAGATCTCAGCAGCGATAAGATGTTGAAAGACACTATAAAATCACACATGCATCACCCGTTTGTTCAGTATAACATGTTCCTGCTCCATGCTTTAGACTGACAGTGACAGAAGCGCTTTGTTTACCAGGATTGTCTCCAGTGAAGGCCACCACGTTACAGCTCTCTGCAAACCCATAGCGTTCAGTGTAATACAGAGATACACAGCCCTGAACACACACAAACAATGAAGCAGTTCAGGTTACAGCAGAGGCTTGAGACTGATATTGTTATGAGTAAAAGAGTGTATTTCACCAGAACGGCTGTCGACGGCGTCAGGTCTCCGAGTCGCTCAGCTAACTGCGGCGCTGCGGCGTCCAGACAAACCCGAGACCACTGCTTCTCAAATATATCCATCAGATTCATCCCCGAGCCTTCATAGAAAGACAAACACACGGCCAGTAAACATACAACAGACTGTGAGAGATTCAGTGCAGTCTAGTTATAAAGACTTCAGGGACAGAGAGATGCTTCTGAAAGCTTCTTAATATTTCACACTTTAATATTCCAGCTCCAGCATTATAATCTAGATGAATTTAAATATACATACATATTTTAATTGCTGAATTGGACATTGTACAGTAATAATTAATATAAACAAATATATATCTAAATATAAAAATATTATTTATAAAATATATACTAGAAAATATTAATTTATATAAATTGTATAAACTAAATAAATATATACATATAAAAACGACAATTTCAATTATTTAAAGACATGTTATTAATAATCATTAATATATACATATATTATATAAAACATATAATACAAAATAACACTTATTTGCATTTATGTATAATTTTTATATAAAATGCATATATATTTATATATAGAACTTATATTATAATTTATATTAATTTAAATATGACTGTGTGAGCTTCAATGCAGTTTAATTACAAACACTTCAGATCTAGAGAGGAGCTTCTAAAAGCTTCACAGCTCAATATTTCAGCTCATAACGGACAGCAAACGTCATCTGATCACGGTTTTATAGAAAACCATGCGCGAGTTATTTAAAATGCATAATTTCTTGACATTGCAAATGCGATCTGAGATCTGAGAGGGGAAGGAGCTGAAAGAATTGCAAGATCATATTTAGTGCAAAAAGACTGATGAATGAAGTACCGTCGCTGTAGTCAATCGGAGCGTAATCACCCAGAAACAGTGATGAAGCGAAGCTGCTGATCAGAGAGATTCTCTGAAAACCACACAGATCACAGTTATTACAGCGAATATTACATTCACACGACTAATTAGTGCTGAGCTTTAATTACTGGCAGCCGACTCTTTCAGTGTCCGACACGCACTAAACACGCATTCATTCAGCAAAATAAACACATGAGGAATATTATATATGTTTACAGCTGGTTTAACTGCTTATATATGTATACATAATTACAATTAATATTTATATATTGTAAATTTAGTAAATGGTTTTACAGATACATATTTAGTAAATTATTATACATTTACGTAATTTAATTTATATGATATTATATTATACTAATAATTACATCATAGTAATTTATTATACATTTAAATATACATTCGTATTTTAATCTGACTTAAAGACCTCATAAAAGGGTTTGACAAGAAAAGTTTATTGGTGTTGATTAATTTCCTACTGAAATATGAATTTGGGATGGAAAATACCAAAGCACTCATTTCTTTTTATGTCTGAACTAAAACAAATAAAAAAATAAAAATAAAAATTTTAAATCAATGTTTTAAAATCTATAGTAATTGTTTAATTTTTTTAATATAAAATA